GCTAAATGGGAAATAAAAGCGTTTGTTATTTTATTAAAAATCTCAACACGAACTTTAAGCCACTTGCAACTTGCACTTTATTACACTAAAATTTAATAATCTATAAAACTGCATATCTAAAATCTCTATAAAAACCAAATGCAAAAAAAAATAATTTTGGTGAAAACATTTCAGATTGTTTTTTTTTTTAATTTTATCCCCCGTTTTTGGAAAACCCTACAATTGTTTTCTACTAGTTTTTATTATATAACATTTATTAACTGGAAGAGAATCTTCAAAATTACTACTTTTTATGCACTTTGCACTGAAAACATTAATCCAAACAAACACAAATTCAAAAAACGGCCTCAGCTGGTCTCCTGCAAATTTTATTAGCTTTCTTTAAAAAAAAAAAATTTACCAAATTGAGTGAAAAATGAAGGCTCCATTAAATTGTGCACACAAAATGACAATTTTGAACCACTGTGCGACGTGGCATTAAGTTACGTTTCGCCTGTCCAAATATAAACGATTTAAGTTAAGTATTAGATCAAGATTTATATTTAGAAATATCTGGAGTATGAAACGTCCGACTTAGAACTGAATCTGTTCTTTTTTGAAACGCATTTGCGGTAATTACCTTCTATTTTCGACCAAGCATCATAGTTCATTCCAGCTGGCCAAAGTGTTTCTAATTAGTTGGTAAGCGCTCTATACTTGGCACATACAATTATATCTACCAACATACATCCCCACATATGTATGTACATGTGTGCCTTATGCAAAATAGACAGGTGATTTACAACATATAAATTTTGGGGGTCAAATGAGCAAATTTTGATTATTATTATTTTTTTTTTAATCCAGCAGTTATGCAAATAAATACCAACCAAAATATAAAATGTATTCACTCACTGGCGCACTGATACATGTTTACATACTAATGTACTTACATATGTTAATATGTAGGTTTGCCGCATGCATTATATGAATATTTTTGCAAACAGAAAAGCAAAAAAAAAAACAAAAAAAAAACTCAAATAACGCACGTTGAGCGGCCAAGTTAGCGACCTCTTAACGCGCTTTTTCTCATCATAGCCTACTTCCAGCCGGTTAGCCCTGTACTGCTGACTGTTTTCTTGTTGTTTTACGTACATATACACTTTTCATTTAGCATGACAGCAGCTTTGTGTAATTAACAGAGCTTAACGAAAATAAAATAATAAATAAAGTCTGCTCATGGTTTAATTGACCCGCTTATCAGCAACAAATAAAAAAACTAAACCAAAATATTTGACAAAAAGACAATTTGAACTAGTTTAAGTAGCGAAACCAAGCGATAAACGAGTGATGTTTTTGCACTGATTTTCCACAGTAATCAATTAATCAGCCTGCCAGCCACACTTGCCTCTGGCGCACCCTCCCACTCACTTCTTCCTGTGTGGGTGCTATTTCGATAATATTTATGCGTTTGTTTTGTTTACTGAAATGTTTTCTTTTTTTTCATTGCATTTGCTCTCACCGCTGGCTATCTGTTTATGCATTTCAGCGTTTCATTTGTCACGTACATTAGCTGATATAAAAACTTATGTACTCGTACATATGTAAATCCATATACATATTCACCTTTTATCCATTTTAATACTTAACTGTTTTTGCCATTGTATTGCCATTGACACATTGGGTAATGGTTGGGTAACGAACTCAACCACGCGACCCTGCTGCTCGACCCAACACCAACGTTTCGAAAGTGTTCTCTACATTCTATAGACAAGGTTAAGGCTAAACTATGTAGAGGAGCCATAAATCTAAAGTTAAAATTAATGTCGATAGATTTGCTTTTTGGTGAGTTCATGACGCTCTCTGTCTATGTAGATATCCATATCCAGGTCATCAGATTTGCACCGTTCATCCGGCTTTCAAATATGCGATGTTGGGCTGTAGATGTGCAGCAAGGTTTTACTTTTTCGAAAAGAGTTGCCACCTTTTAAAAAATAAAATTAAAATTATTAAAAAAAAAATAAGTTAGTTATTACAAACTGCGTATCAGTCAGAGTGGTTTTGAAAAGCTTTTTTCTCTTAACTTAACTATAGAAGGGTTGCCCCCACCGTTTGAAAATCAAATTTAATGGACTTAGGTAATATAAATATGTATCGACATATGGATGCCAGATGAAAGGGACGTAAGAATAAAATGGTTTTAAATTAGTGTGAAGTGGGTTGCCACCTGTTTCAAAGTCAAATTTAGTTAAATTATACACAAGTTATATGAAACATTAAAATATGGGTGTTAAAGCTCAGTTAGTCTAGACTTAATTTCCGTAACTTAACTTAATTTAATATTTTGGCTAACCTGTTATATGAGAAACTGTGTTGGCGGTTAGTTAAAACTTAACTTACCGTAAGAAACTTAAGAACCTGTAGATTTTAGGTTCTCAAGTTACGGCCTTACGGAAATTGAGAGCGGTGAGAGAATCAGGCTTGCCAGACTCTCGTTTTTGTATTTCTTAAAAATAAATGAAAGCAAACATTTTTGTTTGCATAAATTTTTTTTGATATGGCATTTTAGCCAGCGAACTGTTAAACAGCTGAAAAAAGAAATACAAAAACAAAATATTTCCGCTCTTGGCTTAAGTTGACGTGTTGAATAACCATTGATGACTTCTTACGGTAAGTTAACTTAAGTTAAGTCTGGACTAACTGAGCTTTCAAACGAGAGGATGTTAAGAAAACTTTAGTTTGAACATTTGGATTGTTTGAAGAGGGTAGCCACGTGTTTAAAAAGTGACATTAAAATTATTTACAAAATTTGATGAATTATTAAAAGTTTGGTTATCAATCGAAATGTGCTGGGAAAAGCTTTATTTCAGAAATATATTAAGGAGGGTTCTTACAGTTTGAAAATACGGAACTTATTTTATTAATACGCAGGTTGTTTGAAATATTAAGCTAATGTGGAATGATTTGCCGTTATCTCTTGTAAAAGACAAATCATCTGCATAATAAAATTATAAACTTTTTATCTCAACTATATGTAGATCAGAAGTTTGGCTAAACCTCTTATGGGAGTGAATAAAATAAATATGGGAATAGACAAATTCGTAACTAAGTTGTAAATAAATGCAAGTTAAAATTGATTTCACATTTCGGTTCCACACTTGGCCAATTTAAAGCTTACTTAATTATAATCTTATCGCATTTTTTCAGCAAAATAAATCAATACATCTCCCGAAAATACGGTAGACGTCAACAATGAAAAATCAATATTTTTATACCTACCCATTAACCGTAAATATGCAGCAAAACAAATACATACACCTTATGCACGGCTGATTGTGCTATTGAACTATATTTTGCTTGATTAAATTAATTATCACAGTAACTTTGTATGTCCGTGAAATGTGATGCTATAATTTATAGCTTTTACTGTATTGGCATATGTGTATATATTTCTTTTTTTCCAAGCGAAAACAATCATAGCCAACAATTAACAGAGCAAACGAATCAATCTTGTTTTTATTGTTTTAAATAGCAAAATAGCATTGCTTCATAGACATGCCGGTCTGGGCTATGTAACTACTACTGAGTTATACGATTATATGCACCATAATCTGCCTAAGTGGTTCATTTTCACAAATTTGAAATTGAGTATATAGAAATTGTTGAGGTCATTCCACCCTCCAGCATCAGATATGATCTTTGGGCTAATCGCATGAATTCTGCTAGGGCAATGATCTGTCTTAGGCTCTAAGCGATAGCTGTGACTTTAAAATCATAAGAAATTCATTTGACAGCTTTCAATCCATCCTGATGCTTACAATTGCGTGTATGCTAGCGTTCGCTGAGCTGACATGAGTCCTCTTTGTTCCAGAGCCACCCTTTGCGGTTTGGCTGGCGCCTTATCAGTGAACCTAGAAAATATTCCGGGCAATTGAGAAAGAGGTTAAATACGGCCTGACCAATTTCGAGGTCACAATCAGTGAGCTTAGGACCCTGAAAATACAAATTAGATCACCTTAAAGCTCAAACTGGTATTCCACTATTCTACATCGTTTCTGCTCACCCCAAGGTATGATCGGGGTTGCCACATGTCCAGTTTTTGAAAAACCGGATACTTTTCGTTTGGCGAGGGGTTGAAAGGGGGGAGGGGGCAGAGAGGTGGAGTGTTTGTATGTGTGTGTTTAAACAGATCACACACTTCACAGTCAGTTTTTTTATTGTTACCCGGACGAACAGATTAAAATCCGCACTATCGGTCGAAAACCAGACACCTGGCAACACACAGGCAACAGATTTAAGCCAACGACCGTAGTATATCAACATTAAAAAATAATTTTTCCATACAGCTAAAACTGTTTGCATTGTTTACATTGATACTTCTGAAAATTTTTTTTAACAAGTCATTTAGTGCATACCGAATACAAAGTAATGTGAAAAGTAAATGGTCATTCATATAGGCGTTTGGCTTGCAAGTGCATTCTTCCATTATTATTATTTCTTAAACAAATAATTTCATTTCTTTTTGTGCGTTCAGCAGTTCAATGGACGCGGTGTGATTATTGCGCAGTTCGTTTTATACATTGTATGCATTTGACAATGAAATGCAAGAGACCCGACACAAATAGCCAAAGCTCAAATAATTATAAAGACTTCATAAATTCATACCAAAGCTGATAATTTCACGTTTGTTTTTTAATTGTTTTCTTCGATATATTAGGGTGCATCACCAAAGAAAGTTCCGCTGATTTTTGAGAAAAAATATTTTTAAAAACCCATTTTATTTATAAAAAAAATCGATTTTTGGATGAATTTTCAAATAAATCCAGCTCATGTAAATCTTAATATTTTTGGGAAATATTTTGGCGGAAGTCTCAAAATAAGATATTTTTTTTATTTCCAATGAAAACACTGTATTGACTTTTTTTTTCTATCGAGCGTAATGCACCCTAATAACTATGTATTTTTGTATTCGATTCCTGATATTCTATTCAATCCAAATCCTATTCTTTCCCCTCCTTTAGGTGTGTGTTGTGCCAGTGTTGTTACGCAGATCAAAAACCCCAATGACACGGTGACCTCCTCAGCACGTTGCTTGCACAATCACACAGATCGCGGCGATGCTTTTCGCACATCCGTCACAACGACCAGCGCGACGTCGGGTAGTGGCAGCACCACCACCAGTGGCACTACATCGGGCACAGGCGCCAGCAGTGGCGGCGGTTCGATTGGTGGTGGCGTTGGTGGCGGTGGCGGTGCTTCGACCACAGGCAGCGGCGGTGAGCCGCCGAACGATAAGAATATACTCTCCTGCCCGAAATGCGGTAATCCATGCACGCAGGTGGAGACGTTCGTTAGTTCGACGCGTTTCGTAAAATGCGCCAAATGTAATCACTTCTTTGTCGTCCTCTCTGAGGTCGATACGAAGAAGAATACGAAAGAGGAGCCGAAAAATTATCGCAAACCACCACCACCACCACAAAAAATTATGGAATATTTGGACCGGCATGTGGTGGGCCAAGACTTTGCGAAGAAAGTACTCTCCGTTGCTGTTTACAATCACTACAAACGTATTCACCACAATTTGCCACAAGTGCAGACGCAAACGACCATACAGACCGCCGAAGCAATGGGTCGCACAGATTTGCTGCACATCTCCGGTATTGGACATACAATTTCCAACACACAGGGCACTGAGTTGCCGCCGAAGGGACATCTCCCGGGCAGCAGCGTTGGCGGTGGTGCACATCATGCGTTTTCAGATTCCGGTTCAGAAATATTGGATAAGCAAAATTACGAAGTTAAATTGGAGAAGAGTAATATTTTGATGTTGGGTCCAACTGGTTCGGGAAAAACTTTGATCGCCCAAACTATTGCGCGCTGTCTAGATGTACCGTTTGCGATCTGCGACTGCACTACACTCACACAGGCCGGCTATGTGGGCGAGGATATCGAAAGCGTAATTTCAAAGTTGTTGCAAGATGCTAATTACAAGTGAGTAGCGCTTCAATTTTTTCTTGCTATGATGAGTAATAGTACTAATGCATTTTATTTAATTTTCGTTCTGCTATTCCACTTTCCTTTCTTCGCCCTCTTCATCCGTCTACTTGTTCGGTTAGTGTTGACCGCGCTCAGACGGGCATTGTATTCTTGGACGAAGTCGATAAAATCGGCGCGGTGCCTGGTATTCATCAGTTGCGTGATGTAGGCGGTGAAGGTGTTCAACAGGGCATGCTGAAAATGCTGGAAGGCACCATTGTTAATGTACCCGAACGCAATTCCCCGCGTAAACTGCGTGGCGAGACTGTACAAGTGGACACAACGAATATACTATTTGTGGCGTCAGGTGCTTACACCGGGTTGGATCGACTCATTGCAAGGCGGCTTAACGAAAAGGTTGCGTCCGACTGAATTTTGATATATGTCGATGAAATGCGCTAATGAATTTTTCTTATCCTTTCATTTTATATTGTGCTGCAGTATTTAGGTTTTGGTATACCCTCAACAAATTCGTCGGGTCGTCGCGCCGCTCAGGCCACTGCCAGCCCAATGGAAAGTGATCAGGAGGAGCGTGACAAATCGCTGAAAAAAGTGCAAGCCAGAGATCTCGTCGAATTCGGAATGATACCTGTAAGTGTAAGATTGAGGAAGATCAGTATATACTGGCGTGGGATTTTCGGCCCACCTTCGCCTTTTCAGAATTTTGATTGGTAATAGCAAAAATATGGTTCATTATGCTATTAGATGACACTTCAGTTTTGTAATTTTTTCTGCATTTCATTCCACTTTTGTCTTTTGTATTTAAAACCATATTTATTTATTTTTTTGTTTATTTCAGGAATTCGTAGGACGTTTCCCCGTCATTGTGCCCTTCCACAGTCTCAATGTGAGTATGCTGGTGCGCATTCTAACCGAACCGAAGAATGCTTTAATTCCGCAATACAAGGCGCTAATTGGCATGGATAAGGTGGAGTTAACGTTCGATCGTGATGCTATCGAATCGATAGCCGCCATGGCGATGGAGCGTCATACCGGTGCGCGTGGTCTGCGTTCAATAATGGTAATTGTGATGTCTAATAATATGCAAACATACACATTCTCTTAATATCCATTTATCGCCTGATTAGGAACAATTGCTGCTCGATCCAATGTTTTTGGTGCCTGGCTCCGATATCACCGGTGTACATATAACCGCGGACTGTGTAAAGGGCGATGCTCAGCCAGTGTACGTACGAAAGGATAATGGCGATGAGAGTACCGCTGATGAAAACGAGAGTGAGGGTAAAAACTATGAGGATAGCGAAAGCGCCAAAGTACGCATAACGCAATAGAATGGCGCAGTACAGCACATGCTGCTACAGTTGTTGCTAAGTCAGCATGACGGCAATAATGTTGCGGCAACATGTTGCAGGCATTGTATTGCTTGAATGTTGCTATTATTAAATTCAATTGTATGTCTGTCTGCCTTTCATCGAACCAATATTTTCGAATTAGAAACTGAAGCGTTGCGTTGTGGCGTTGAGTTAGTCCTCCATTCACTACAACAAAAACAACAACAACATCAAGACCTACACAACTCCTACAAAGTACTGTTTGTATTTTACGTTATTTGTTCTTGAAAAACGAAAACTACAAGAAAATCTAAGTAAAAATCACAAGCGAAAACTTTTAGATATTAAAATAACAATAAAAAAACAATTATCCATTATACTATTACACATCAGTTAATAAATGAGAACTTATGTATATTTTTAGTTTATATTTTGCAATAAACCCAAAAAAGAAAAGTTCATGAATATTTCACTGCACAGCGTATGTGTGAATAGGAACTGCAAAATGTGAATTACGCGAAAATGTAATAAGTAAAAGACGCGAAGAAAGGCCAGACCAAGGCGAGGTTGTTTACCGCAATGTATGTACGTTGAATGCGAAATTCGAAAATTTACAACTTTAAGCAATTTTTGTGTGTGTAATTAAAAGTGAAGACGAAAGATAATAAAAAATCTTTGGAAAAAATGCAAAATACTATATGTAAATTGTAGAAATATATCTTTACAAATAACGGTGAACTTGAACTGTTTCTGAGACATGTAACCAACAATAAAAACTACTACAAGTAAAGAAGCAAACAAAAAAAAAATAGCAAGTTTAGAGAAAAAGAATTTTTATAGAATTAAATAATAAAATGTAGTGACAAGTTTTATTTTAAAATAATAATGTATTTTATATAATACGTATATATATTATAATAAATAATTGAAATAAATCAAAATCAATGCATAAAAATTAAACCAATTCAAATGTAAATAAAAAAGTTAATTAAGTCAACAACAAAAACGTTATGGGACTAATTAAATATAATATTTTCTTTGGATGTTTGTTGATGTATGTATGTATATATATATGTACCTATGTGCCAATGCATTTGTTCAGGCATCATATTTTATTGCACATTGTTGTTACCACCAATTTTGGCGCTTACATGTTAATTCGACTGCGTTAACAATTTAATTTACTTCATTTTGAGCTGTCTGCTCTCTTCTATTGACTGACTGTTGTGTTTGCGAAATGTGTAAATAATGAGTATTTGACTAGATTTTCAATCGCTAAGCGTTCTTCATATATGGCTATTCGAGTAGTTCATAGATTTTCACCGCTCCGTCGCAACGTTGATTGCGCGCTGTATTTTGGTATGTGTTTCCGTTTGTTAGTGTGTGTTGATATAGGTTTCATTCGGCCTTATCGCTTTGGTTGTTTCTAATAATTTTACTGGCACTCACTAATAAGTTGTATATAAATAATTATGCATATTAAAAATATGTGTAAATATTTTTTAAATTTTTTTTATGTGTACTAGAAAAATCGCTGCATTCGCCGCTTCCTTGTTGAACATTTTGTTTTTTTTTTTTAGTTTTGTTGTATAAAAAGTTTGCGCTTAATATTTTCATTGTTGAAAGATATGTATCTTCGGACCTTATCTGTATGCATTTAATCGTTCTCTTCAGAGATGAGCAGTTCGTACTCTTGCGCCGCAAAACGATCCCAATCAGAAGACTGTGAAAGAAAAATACGTAAAAGTCTTAGTACGATTAACTACAATAGCAATGAACGATTTTGTTTTTTTTTTGGAAATTGCTAAATTTCCCCTGATTTAGTGAATTCTATTTTTTCTATAGTCTATGTTTTCTTCCCTGCTTTTAGTAACCCGGAACTTTGAAAATTTAATGATTTCACCTATTTTGAATGATAGTTGTTCTTTATTAAGATTTTTTGCTAACATTTCGGGTTCCAAAATCTATTTCAAATAGTAAATGTAAGACCGATCGATCAAAAGCACTCTCAAAAAAGCGGCCTATATTTTAAAAAATTACTCGCGATATTGGGAATATCCGTTAGCTATTCTTCATTGCCGTTAAGGGAACTTTCCAACAATGCTCAAAAACAGAGTAAGTCATGGAAATGTAAGTGCAGGGCTAATAGAACTAGTACCAGGTTGACCGACTTTGCCCGGGGTGCATATACTTTTTAAAGTTTTCAAGATTTGGATATCTTTAAAAAAATATTTTGGAAATAAAACGTAAAAAATTTGGATTTCGTTATCTATTAAGTAAATTTCTTACTCTAAAATTTAGGTGGCAACCCTATTCCGAAAAACGCTGGAATAAATGGTACATACATATCTTGAGCGTATACGTACTGTGTATACATAAAAAAAAATGGTGATTAAAATTAACAACATAAAAAATTGTATTACCCAGAGGCGTGGTTACCCTGAGGGAAAACATTTTCTGACCAATGTTCTCAACAATATCTTTCATTTGATATCCATTTTGCGATGTTTTAGATAAATTGTGCAGAAACGAAAATAAGTGGCAACCTTACACTATTATCCTAAGGGATAACATTTTGCAATGTAGTTACTCGGGGAGGCCCTAATTCTTTCAGTTGAAAAGCATAATATATTGCTGAGCAAGCAGTTATTGTTACAACGCCATCGCAGGCGCTTATTTGAAATAAAGGTCCTTCCCAGGCACGTCAAAAGCCATCTTATGGATCTGAAGGACCCAGATATGGCCATAGGAACGCCATTCCTTGAACCAGATGGACTGTAGACAGACTCTAAACTGAATTCATCGAAAGGCAAGCCATAACTTGTCAGCTTTCGCTTAGTGAATGCCGACACCCGATACTTACAACCATCTCAGCAAGATCTATACTAAGTGTCTGTGACGCGGAGTGGCGCAATTGGACATGATACAGAAAAGTTTTTTTTTTACCAAAACTTCCACGATTTTTTGTAGAGTGTCTATCGCTATTTCATGTTCGTTTAAGAAATATGTAAGTACTACTCGTATTTAATTATTAAAAAAAAATACGTCGAAGCTTAATCACAGCTTGTGTACTTACATATTCGTCCCGTTGCGAGGCAAATGGATCACGTTGCTCATGGTCCAAATATTTCTCCAAATTGAAGAATGTGTCGAAGAAGACATGCGTCATTCTGCAACGCTTTAAATCGCCCAGTGTAATGCAATCACGACGTGCAGGTTTAATCATGTCCAGCATCTGAATAATATTAATATTAGAATCTCGTAGACACGCACCACAAATCAGCCCAGCGCGCTTACCTGACACAAACAGTCCTCAAATGGCAACGTTTCAATACCAATCGATTCCATGCGTTGTTGTTGTTCCTCATAGAAGTACTCCAATTCGTACATGGACAACATACCATCACCATCGACATCCATGCATCGGAACCAATACTCAATTGCGGTGGGTGTACGCTTATCTTCCTCGGAAAGCAGAAACCACACAAAATCGGTATAGGACATTTTTGGCTCGTCTTCTGGATTTTTCTTGTTATCGCTACGCGTCACACAACCCGAAAATATTCGCTCTACAATGCGTGTGGACAAAGCATGATCGCTGTGGCGTGCCAAATCATCTTGACTAATTAATAGATCGTGATCTTTATCTAGTTCCCAGAATTTGCAATAGATAACATAGAAGTGTTCGTAGCTAAAGAAGGCCATAATTTGATTGATATCGTCCTCCTCTTCGAGCAGCGTTAGGACCTAAAAACGAAAGCGATAATTAGAAAAACATGTGCCTCTATATATGTACATATATGCATATAAATTTATGTATGTATATAATTACCTCCAACAAATCGGATTTCTTCAGCTCAGATATAGTTATCCTGCCGGACCAGCACCTATTTACCGAGTAGAATATTCTCGCAATGACCGTATGCACATATCTGGAATGAAACTCGGTAGCCTCTTTGAGAAACGCCAAGCCCGGATGCGTATCGACAACATCCTGTACCAGCGGCGCCAAATCCTCGGGCAGTATGTATTGGCGAAAACGTTGACCGCGTGATAAAATGTAGACAAAACGCGAGGCGGCATCATGGCAATAGACGTTCATTCTAAGTAAAGATACGAGAGGTAGTCGATCAGACAGTATGTACGTGTAGATACTTGAGTGGTTGGTTATTAGTTACTGTTTCCAGAATTCCACGAATCTTTGTCGCTCCACCAATCCCGAGTTACCCTGCTGACAAAAGATCATTACCGGCATGCGCCAGTAGAAGGGAAGGCCACAGATTTTTAAAATGCGCGGCAACTCATCTTTGGTCACCTGATTATTCGGGAACGAATCGAAGGCGGACAAAATACCACGCAGTGTACGTTCCGCTGCGATTTGCGGTTGTGGTTTGCCATGCGGAAAATAGAAGCTACGAGTAGAAGAAACGAGGAATTCAGTGAGGAAAATCAGAAAGCTATGCAGATTCTGTCCACTTACCGGGGTATATAACCTGTTTTGGTGGTCCGAATCTCGCGTTGTACAGAGTTTTGTTCGGGCGGTGGGGGTGGCGTTGCATGTAATTTGACCTGAGGAAATACATAGTACATATTAATAATTATTTAATTAGCTTGAAATAATTTTTCAAAACGGAATTGAACAAGGAAGAAGAGAGGCCAAGAGACATCCACACAGCTACATACATATGTACGTATTTGAGCTCACCTTTTTCAATGGACGAATATTAAAATTATAAAATTAAAAATAAATCAATTTCGACGGTTGAGTGAAAGATCAACCTATCTTGGCAGCCGGTTCGAAAACGTCCAATCAATTCAGAATTTGGTTGAAGGACGTTCCAGCTCAGAACTATTTAAGTTCAAAAACGGCTTATCTCAATTGAAAATATATTGAAAACATGTTGAGATCGATCGGTCGATCTTCCACATTGCCGTATGCATCTTGATGTTACGCACCACCAAACACTTCCCTACGGTAGCCACGGTACAGTGTCCAAATTCTCAGTCTGAAACCCTTCAGCAGAGGCCTTAGCTACGGTATCGACGGGCGCCATATGGGAGAGGTGCTAAGCATCCCATAATCCCAATAAGGATGACCCGTTGCACATGCTCCAATTTTCTGGCTTTCGCAGCCTTTGCTAGCACCAGACAGATGCTTTCTTACAGCCACGAAATAAGCTTGGTTCCATTTTTTACCAATCGTTCCCTAGCGCAGTAAAGAGTCACCGAAGATGTCTATATTCACTCCGTCGATCTCAAATCTTAGATAGAAGAATAAGAAACAGCATATTCGATGCCAAGTCCAAGTTTTGCTTCCTAGTTAAGTTATTCCAGACCTAAACACTTATGAGCCATGCACTACGGGAGGTACTTCTTTGAGCAACAGAAGTGGGGCTTAGCATCAACACGGAAAAAACAGGTCTGGTAATCTTCACCATGAAGTACAGGGTTCGGAACTGGTTTAAACCAAGCCGGATGGTGTGACCCTACAGCTCAAATAAAGCTCGAAGCACCTCGAAATAATATTCGATAGTAAGCTATTGTGGGGCCTCAATGTCGTGGAAAGGGCGAAGAAGGCCTCAATGGCATTTCAGGCATGCAAAAAGATGAAAGACTGCACGTAGATCTTATCGACTTCTCTTTCTCATTGGATCTTCACGGCCACAGTCAGGCCGATACTGTTCCATTGGGAGAACAGCAATGAGAAGGAAACATTTCTTAAGGAAATAGAAAGTGTACACAAATAGGTCATCATTGATGGACAGGGAACTTAGGATTACACCAACGGCAGCATTTTACAGCTTATTTCAGCTCTTGCCGGCGGACCTGTCGGCCAAGAACTTAACGTGAAAAGCTGCCGACAGACTGTACGTTACTGGGTGGTTTATGTGCAGGTCCCTAGGACAGTAGTATTGCGTCAACTTTACTCGGATCGTTGACAACATGATCCCAGATCTGCACTTTGGGACGAAATTCGAAGCCACAAAAGATGTCGGAGGCTGGCGTCAGGGCATGGGGAGTGCTGACTCGTGCGAGGATCGCACAACACTTCTGCTGGACGTGTGTAGAAGGGCAGGGTAGCTCTAGATTTACTGCATACTGATACTGATGTACATCTGTACTGGGTTCGGCTGTACAACGACGTAGCGGGCAAAGAGAAGGCCGACAGCCTTGTCGCAGAATACGCTCAGGCGATCAAACGCAAGCTCGACCTGTCCATCATCCGGAAGGCGCAGATGGTGTGGGCCAAAACGCAAGGTTGCCAGGTATCTAGGATTGTGTGCAGACGTTAGGCTACTGGCGGGTGCTCTAAACTGGCCTTTAAACTGGCTCTGGCCAATGATAAGCTCTGTAGGAGATGCAGAACGAAAGGGGAGACCGTGGATTATATCCTCTGCTAGCATGCTGCCCTTAGCAGACTCCGGCTGAGTCTTCTGGGAGTCGGCTTACTACATAATTTGGAAGCCGCCGCCACGGCCAGTTTGCTAAGAGGACTGAGATTTACTTCAACCCCAGTACCCAGTGATTAGCTGTCGAAGTTATCTGGTAACGGTATGGTCCTTAATGCTCTATGCGGAGCCAGTTAGTGGCTAGCCAGCTTGCTTAACCTAAGCTTTATACAGTTAGAACATCAATAAAAATCCATGAACTATGTGGATATAGTTTTTTCCGGGGCTCAAAACCGGACAGTGGATGAAATTAATGCTTTGAAATTTTAAATTTCGCAGTTCATAATGGTTCATTCTCTGTAGAACTCACTGAGTGCTAAACAATTTAATTGCATATAACTGAAAAGTTTACAGCTAATTAAGTTACAGTAATTTGCGTACTACTGTTATATTTACATATGTATTTATTTGCGGTACATCCTCTACATTCATCAGTGTTTTGTTGAAAAATTGGGCACATAAAAATTAAAAAAAAAAACTAATAATAATTTAATGCACACGTGAACAGAATTAGCAATTAAGTACGGGTGAAATCAAAACGTAAATTTTCCACTTGATTTAGCCTCCCAATTCTTGTGAATTATTCTCTAAAATTTAGTTGTTTGTTTTCTTTATCGATTTGTTTGGTTATGTTCTCCAGTAACACCTACCGTTGAATCGTGGGAGATTTTATGCAATTACTTCTCGCATTGAGTGTATTTTTTGCTGCTTTTTTCTTCACTTGGGTGAGGAGATATTGTATTGGGTCCGTGTAGACAGATGATCGCGCACATTTCTCGATACTCAAACATTTCGGATATGGACTGTGGTGTTGATGGTGGAATTGAAATACTGGAGATGTTTTCCAGGAACGGCAAATAATGATTATTTTTTTAAATTTCAACTCAAATGATGCGTGCATAAGGAATAAACCAAAATATTCCATGTTTACTCGGACTACCTTCAGCGGCAGTGATTCATAGTTTTTAATTTTATTTAAAAATATTAAGTTTAATAGTTATTTCTCGAGGTTTATTTATTACTCAGAAAATTATTATTAAGGGTACTTATACAAAATCGCAAAACCCTCGCAAAGTGGGCAAACTGTGCAGTTTTAAACCCTCCAAAATGAAATTGCAAAATTTATACGAATGTCGTATATATGTATAGACGAGTACCATTAACATTTTCTGAGAATTATTTTTTGCTTGCAGAATAAAACTTAATTTCAGGATATTTTTTGTCATGTAAATGCTTAAGATAGATATAAAGATAAAGCTAAAGGTGGTAATGGCAATGGGACATATTGGTAAAGGTAGTTGTAATGGTAATGGTAATGGTAATGGTAATTATAAAGATAATGTTAGTAGTAATGGTAATGGTAGTATTAATGATAAAGTTAATGAATGGTAATGATATAGGTAATGCTAATCAAAAAAGTAATTGCTCTCTTTTGCATTCGTGTTCTTATTCGTTTTCTCGTACTTCTTCGTCGTCTTATTCGTATTCGTGTGCGTTTTCGTTCCTGTTCATATTTATATTCGTCTTCAGCTTCTTAATCGTCCTTTTATCCTGTAGGTCTTCCTTTTCATATTCTTTTTTCGTAAGATACGTCTTACATCTTCGTCGCCATATTCGTATGGGTTTTCGTCTTTGTATTTGTCTTCGTGTTCATATTCGGTTTCGTTTTCGTTTCCATCGTCGGTTTTGTATCCGTATTCGTATTCATCTTGTGTTCGTCATCGTTTTCACATACGTGATGGTATTTGTCTTTGGATTTGTCATTGGTTTAGTCTTACTCTTAATATTGGTTCTTAACCTTAATAGTGTCACATATTTATTTTGCCAGTAAAAATTTATTTTCAATGATACAGAATACAGACGAAGTCGCGTGGAAAGGAGCCTATCGATATTCCAACCACGCCCTCGATCTGTCGTTAAACTACTTTTTATGCAGCTATTGCCACCTAGAAGAAATTGAAAGCATCGGATATTAAATCTGTCGCTGTCCTGCTTTGGTAGGACTAGAAGAATGCCAGGCGGATTTATTAACTTGGAAAAAAAGGGATATATTCTAGGTGCGCGGAAGGAGTCGACAGGTAGCCAGTTTATTTTAACCCAACCGAGGGTTAATATTATCTATTAACTAAACGAGGCCCACGGCAAATGCCCATCAAGGGGTGCGGCTGTAAGAGCGTGCCTGCATTGGAACACGGCAAATGTTTGAAGGACTATGAGTTGCAGCTATGCAGATGGAATATCTGGAAGTGGCTGATTGATGTGCCTCGAATAGAATAGGGCTGACATCACCACCATCCATTAATTGCGATTGATGGGACTAATATCTGTAATAGATCCGCTAAGTGCTTCATTATATGTGTATTTACCGAAATTGTATGTGTTAAAAAGTCAGACCTGGGCATTCGCACAGGAAATAGGATACTGTCTCGTTGTACGGAAGCCCTATTCTATAAGCATGTTGGGCTAGTGGCTGGATCTCTGACCACCTCCTCCTTGCTAGTTTCAGAAAGTGCCACTGAATTTCTGTTTGTATTTGTCTGAGGGGGTATCCCACTATCACCGCTACAGATTCATCCAAACAAGCTCTCGTCTTGGTGGATTCGTTTGCTCTCTCTATGCGTGCTCTGTTCCTATGGCCGTGCGCACAGACAAGAGAGATGGCCATTGACCGAGTTAACGAGCTTAGGTCCATGTAACATTCTTTAACTACATACATAACATAGATTTGATTTCAATAGATATTGAAGGTCCGGTCACCGGTAGCACTATTATTTAGTATTGCCCAGGACTTCATCCTGAAATATTATGGCATGGTTTGACAGCCGCAGGTATGGCTTGACACCAAGATCATTGGAATAGACGCCTGTAGCAACACCGCATCCATCTCGGACGTTGACTTAGAAATTGCTTCCTTATCATCAACTTCGTATCTTCTCTCTTGGCTTGATACCATGTAGTCCGCATTTTTTTTGCTATCGGACCTCTGTTTAAGATTGAGCTACTTATAACTATATGCCCAAATGTCTAAAGTTGGCCACCACGTCGTAGGTAAGGATCGGCCTAATGTTAGCGGTGTACATCCACATCACAAGTTTCGGGTTTTTATCTCCAGTTTCTACT